TCGAGAGGCAGGGCAGTGCTCAGCTATCCTTATCGACAAACGCCTGGTCATTTGTCCGAAGTACTTAGCACCACAGGTGCAATTAACGTGATATACCACGTACGATCCAAACTTGGCCGGTAAACTTTCTTTTATAAGCTGAGTAGTGAATGGAGTGGTCTCAGCAAGAATGTGTGGATTGGCGGCCTAGACGGTTTTTGTCACTCTAGCGAAAATCCTTCTATTCAGCAGATGGATGGAAAAAGATCTATATGGATTTGCCTTTCAAAGTTGAATTTACTGGATCGAAACCTACTAAGCCTTTATTATCTACTACGCAAAGAAGTTACTGTGTTGTTCAGATTATAGTCATCAACAGAACTAGTAACTTATCGGTGCCTCCAACGAAGGAAGCTCTACCGAATCGTGGCCAACTCACACTTCATATAACAATTCGTGTGCGACTACGAAGACAGTTACATAAGCAGAACCAATCGGTCTTTGACTTCCCGAATAAGGGAACACGTGCCAAAGTGGGTTCGTCGTAAAATTGACCAGCATCCCTGTCCCGCTTAAGTTCCGTGATTGCGGATGCCGCCGGCTTCCTCATTAGGTAAACACCTAGTGACTACGCATCACCGGATAAAGCTTGAATTATCATTCACACTTTGTTGCGTCACCCTAAGCCTCCCTTCCTTTGTTTGGTCGAGGCCGTTGCGATAAGACTGATGAAGTCAGTCCTGTGTGTTCACGAGCAATTATGTATCAGCTTAAGACTGCCCTGCATACAGGGGTGGAACTACCGTCATTCATTTTGCACCTAATGCTTATTTGGTCATGCCCAGAGTTAAGTATATAGTTGCATACCGGTTGTTGTTAATGTTACTGAGGAGACAATACGGCATGCTTGCTTCTACCAGTTTTCCTCGTTTTACAGTTCTTTTCAAATACTGGAATCTGTCTATTAACATCCATCCCGATCCGTTATCTGGTCTCGAAAAACTGACGATCGTATTTCTTTTATTGCCTCGATGTTTCTTGGTGAGGATTTTTGATGACCTGTTGACCGATATGCACCACTGTGGTCTTAAAAGAGTCTCAGGCGAAAGCAGTCGTGGGTGTTGATTTAGCCAGTTGGTGCATTAAATTTGCAACTGGGTTCCTAGGTGTAGTTGACCGCAATTCGGTTGAATGAATCAAAATTTCGGTCCGAGAGATAAAGCCTTAAGCTGCAGCTGCTTCAGTTGTATAATGTGTAAGTTGTATACAGAGCTTTCTGGATTAACTGGAACTTTTCATTCTGTTTGATTCGGATGTAAGATTCTTAGAACTTTCAAGTGCCTTCTTCCAATTTTGCGCAAATTTCTCTCATGTATGGCTTAAAAGAATCTAGACGGTTGGTAAAGTGCACAAAGTCACTCCAGCTCTGGTATTTGGGACTGAACAGCTTCCATCAGAATGTAAGCATGTCGTTTAAGGAACTTTGCAGTCGGATGCACATGACACCGCCTGAGATATTTCCAGTAGGATCTGGGATATTGATTGCGTCGTACCCACGCTTGTATAACTCTAATTTCTGTCTCTGATTCTGTACTCCTAGCGTTAAACTACAAGCATTTGTTGAGGTTCACAAAGGCTGCGGACTGGTTTCTCTTTTTTAACTTGGACATACAACCAGGTGTTTGTCCATGGGGATAGCTAGGCACTGTCCCGCCTCTCTAAGGAAAAGCACTGCCGGAAGTACAGTCGAATCCGCTTTATTGCCCACCGTCGGGATATTTCAAACGTGGGCAATGAAGCGGGGTAGTTAGTTAACCGATATTGCCATTTTTCCGGAAGGGAAACAACTTATGGCTTGTTGCACATTATATCACTGGAATTGTAACGCTTCAAGAAGGATACAATACATAATGGTAACTAAACCCTACAACCGACGTTTATTCAGAAAAGTACGACTAGTAATTTAATACTTATAGCAAAGCTTCTTACGCGAATAGCTTCAGAAACTGGCGCTGCTGTTTATTTTTGCTGGGAAAGAAATCCACTCAGTTGTACCTTATTTTAAGCTGCTACTCCAGTCAATTTCGCACTGATGCAATCCAATTTGGACAAGAAATGCTTGCCTAGCCAGTGCAAAAATCCATAGCTATACAGATCATTCACACAGTTATTTGTTCTCGAAGGCGACAAGCGCTGCTTGCTGTTACTCACGAAGGCATCCGGTACGTCATCCTCTGAGTCGCTGTCTTCTTTCCGTTCTAGTCGATTCGCTAAAATTCTACGATTTCATCTTCAACATTTATCATATCTGAAGTACATTCCACATCGTTGTCAATGGCGACGAACTTCTCTGCATTGAGGACTGGGATTGTGCATGCACTGATTTCGCCCTCAGCCATCACGGTGTCATCAGAAAGTGCATCGGATGCCAGTCGACTGAAGCCAGCATGCCGAAAGCAAGCTTTTACTGTTGGACCGGTAACCTGTCTCCAAGATTTTAAAACGAACTAAACTGCATCGATTACAAAAATCTTGGCGCCGGCATCCACCGCCGAGGATGAGTCAGGCAGCACTTTATTTTCATGTGATAAAGAATTCGGTCTACAATTTCTTATCAATAACGGATTCTCAGATACATAATCACACTTTGCTTCATGGGTTGAAGAATGCTGGTCGAGTTTACCGGCAAAAGTTCCGTTTGAAACTTTTTCAGATCTACTTGTGGATGCCTTGTGCAATCATCCAAGAGCAACACAATTTTTCGACCGCTTTGGTCTAGCTCATTGTCCCATTCGAGGACCCACTCGGTGAAAGTTCTTTCCTTATCCACGCATTTTTGTTAGCTCTGTAAATTACGGAAAGTGTAAGTACGTTCACGCCACTATAACATCGCGTTTTCTTACTTTTTCCATGCAAAACCAGTTTTCTTTTATCCGTGCCTGACAAATTCACGATGCACTGGAGCGTGATCCTATCCACGGCTTTTTCGAGCCGGTGAGCTTATCGGCAGAAAAACACAAAGAAGCCTCTGGAGATGCGCGGTAATAAAAACATTTCGTCTGCATTGTACACGTTATCGTCATCAAATGTATAAAAAAGTCGATCTTTCACACAATTACCACAAACTTCTTTGTCCGCGGAACTGATTTTAGCATGCGCACTTTTATACACAAGTTGAGTTCTATTCTCCCATCTTTGCAAACATGATTCTGTGACAGCAAAGGTTTTCCAAGTCTTTCCCCTAATTCTTCTGCCTTTTTTCTAACGAAGTGTGTCTGAACCTTTTGGTTGTGCTCACGAATCGCTATTATCCAGTCTTTTTATTCGGTTTCAACTTCGCCATCCTTTCCACATCGCTTCATTGTCTGAGTGCTTGCAGTCCCATGCGACAAATTCTGTCGAAATTCCTATTCGCTGACAATAAACCTGGCTAGGGCATGATGCGAAAGGTGGTAAATCACGAAACAACTTGGCCTGCGTGGTTGCTAGTTGTTCAAAATGTCCAACTTTTATGTTAAGGACAAATGGTTTCTGTTACTGACCATACTTGTGTAGCCAAGAGGGTACTGACAAATATGGAGTGGAATGATTACCCGACTTTGATCAGTTCTCGAGTTTTGAATAGAGCTGTGTGTTTGCCCTCAGCCGTCTATAAATTCACTTTGATCGTTTGTTGAACGACGCAGGTAACCTTTTCTGATCTGCTAATAGCGCCGCCGACACCTTTGTGGTTCTTGACTCGATTGGACTAGCTAGCTGTATGATAACCGTAATAATGGAGCGAGGGCGTAAAACTGACAAAACGACAAGAGCACATCCCACGCAACTGGGAAAATAAGCGGTGGGACGGCCATGGCAATGGACAAGTAGACGGTGAAAATTTAGCATATTTATAAGAAGAAATTTGTGTTTTGAAAAACTGAGCAATACAGCGGGGTGGGCTATAATCCGGGTGGGAAATTAGGCGAGTTCAACTGTATCAGACGTTCCATCCTTGAACATCTTGTTCAAAGTGGACACGAAAGCCTAACCAATGTTGTTTTCAACGTCTTCTACACCGTGCCAAAACGATATCCTAAGGGGATAAGGAGACCCCTCCTTCGAAATGCGGAATTGTTAACGAGCAATTTAACGCAACTGGAGCTTTGCAAGCAGAAGATGCAACTGCAATCCCTCACGCTACCGTGGCCGTGATGAGAATCCATTCGCGTAGAACATTGGTGAGATCGAGGATGGCATCACTTGTGGCCGACCCAATTTGCTTCGCGAAGCGGTCAGTTAGCTGTCAACTGGGGTCAAATAAGGTCCATTTTCATCGACAGCACAGGCTCTACCATTTGGCCTGATCAATTTAACTTCCGTCCGAATAAATTCAGATTCTCTCCTCCTTTCGTTCCAGCTTATATTAGCTCATGCTTATCCAAGTTATACTTGTAAACGTGTTTGCCTGATATGTGTTACCGAAAAGAGCTCTTTTTGCTGCAACTATTTTCTTACATTCCTATGGACATTATCTACGAGCTGAAAACAAACCTGTGAAGCGCGTATAGAGGATCACTTCGCATTTGGTGCACTAAAGGCCATTACATCGTCTGCTTGTTGATTCAACGGAAACCGGGTTATTAATTTGCTACGCATGCATTTAAACTGACTTCCTCGCTAGAGGAATACACAAGTGACAGAATAAATTTGCACTGGTTTACTTTTTCAGTCCACGATTCAAGGGATCTCTTTCTTCACTGGAACCACCTGTACCACCAGCACTTTTCTGAAGCGCAGTCTTCATTTTTTTGTAATCTATTCTTTCTTTTTATGCTGTAAGTTTGTAGTCGGTCCTCCAAATTCGGTGAACATGTGAGTGGCGGACCGTAATGCTCTACGGCGGTGTGTGAGCTCAATTATTAAGCCACAACCTCTCGGAACGGCGGCGCACCGGTATAGACTAATGAAAGTGACTGCAGTCGGTGTAATGCGTGGGATGATTGAAAGGTACTGTGTATTTTGGTATCACATTTACTCACCTTGTGAAAGAAGGTTGCTCCGGTCAGAACCATTGAATATTTACAGTTCTGTTCGGTTATATACTTCCATTTCGCTCCGTCTTGGGATTTCTCGTGACTTCTAGCTGGATAGCCAACAATCTGCTCACGGTTCTCTCTCCACACACTTCATGAGTTTGAGCAGTTTTTGAAAAAAAAACGAGCGAAGATATGAAGCGCATTTGGTAATTCCTACTTGAAAAAGATAGACTCAGCTGCTGGTATATTATTAGTGCAAAGTTGTATAACGCACCTTCGCTACTAATAAGTGGTGTTTTAAAATACAATCAGCGTATCGGAATCTAGATATATTGGTAAAGTATATTCCAAGTTAGATAGCACAGGTCTACTCTGCTCCATACTGAGCGTCAGCTAGAAACTGCGTCTTGCGGGAGCAATTAAAATTGATTTAGTTCTAGTTTTACGGCAATGTAGGATTTGCCCTGCACCAGCTTTATCAGTCAGCTAGTAACAGCATCTATTCTGGACATTTTATTATTCAGGCTCATTATCGCCTTTCCAAAGGCATGTGGGTTACAGACTGATTTCACAACAACCACGTAAATCCTGCAAGTATCGTATGTATGTTTTGCCTTTCACTGTTATTTACCGATTCCATGCCACTAATGAAAAAAGCAGACATGGATTCAACATGCGCTAAAAGTAAGCAAAGTAACTGTGATCTGTATCATCGCACTACCATAAGAGTGGGGCAGAAAGCCGCTGCTCGTCAGGTTGTACATCCAGTGACCGCTCACGGCAGGTTACTTGCCTGAATGGCTAACACAGCAGCCTTGTTTAACGCATTCTAAAACCCATTTCGATTTACAATCTGCAATCTTTCATCGTCTCCCCACGCTTGCAGAGATCTGATAGCATCAGTCGTCACGCTTCAGTGCCAAATGAAGCATTGGCGCTGAATTGGTTCCGAAGCGCTCCAACCAACTAGATTACTTGATATCCTCTCTCTTAGTAAGCATGCTGTTTCAATGAGAGTGAATCACTGCACACAGGCAAAGTTATTCAGTTGAGCCAAATACACAGCTGCCTACGCTGCTGTTGCTTCTCCCACATTCTATAAACACCAACTGTGCTTCACCAGCAATGCACGTTCCCTTCTAATAACCATTCATCATCATCATCAGCAGCAGCAGCAGCAGCAACAGCACTAGTCGTACGTCAGTAAATCGAACCGATAAGTTGCTACCGTGCAACTGAAATGACCTATTGGATTGTGAATAATAAGAGGAACGAAAGAAGAGCCGTGGCAAAAGTTAAATGCCATATGCAAACATTCGTAGCTTCCACCTGCATAGTTGACTACAATCCGTTCTGCTTGTCCGTGTACGGTCCCGGAAACTTGCATTATCTGCATACCATTAGTGCGTGTTAGGGGCCAAGAAGCATGAACTTTGGCAGCAATACACCTTCACAAACAGCAACAGTGAGGCACCTTGCTTGTGACTTTTAGCGCCCTGTGTCATAGTCAGTCCCTACCGCAAACAATACTTGCCACTATTCAATCGGATTAGAAAGCTACCATAAACGCGTCGTTCAAGTCGACTGTAAAAGGTATCCTTCAAAGAATCCAGTCCAGGCGAGACGGACAATTAGCGCCCAGTTTATTCAACATCGGTTTCACTTTCCTTTGCCAACAGCTGTTAGGTATATTTGATTTACTCACTATTTTTCTCAGTCTCTGACAGTAGTATACCCATAATATTTTCTGGCATGGCGTGGATACACAAAGCAAACAGGTAACAAAACTTGCATTACTTCCTACATTTTTCAATCAAGCTACATATATCCCACGATTCTGTGGTACTGCTCGCAGAGACGCATAAGCTCAGAGTATGCAAAGAATCGGCTGAAATTTCAAGTGATCTAACAGACTTAGCCAAGAAAGATGAAGGAGTCAATTAGCATCACCGAGTGAGCATGGCATCAATCTGAGCACTCCATTGTCACAAGCACAATAACCAGCAAGGATACACAGAATGATGCATTCATGGTAAGTTATCCTACTTCACATACTACGGTCACAGGTACCACAGGGAACAATTTACTTTTTGATGTCTTTTTTCAAAGTCACAGATTTAAAGGTCTCCGCTCGTGCATTCAGAAACAGCATTAAGGATACCCATTCTACATTGGCCTCTTTTAGGTTTGCAGGCAGGAAGCGCGTATGAGCCAAAACTAGCTGACCGGGACATAAATTTATGAACTGTTCTCGGTTCCCTTTCTGTTTATATTTTTACGGTATCAACGAATTGGGGCAACTTGTGCACGCACCTCTTCCCTAGTAGGCTGGTGCCGATGGCTTGAAACTTTGAAATATGCTTTTCCAACCCATTAAAAGTTGATTACTTTTGCACGAAGCTAAAGTAGTGCCGATAATAACCATACCGACAATTATCCCATCTATATCACGGCCACTCGAGTAGCAACTACTAGACCCTGGCCTATACAGCGGCACCAGCACTAATAAGCGAAGATTATTAACGTTAGACTTCTATTCCATTCCCGACCAATTCAATTATTTAGTACAGCTAAGCTATTGATCTGAGAACCAGTCCCGGCTGCATGAAGTTAGTGACCTAGAGTTCCTTGCGGATAGCTTCATCATGATGCTCCTAGGATTGGGTCGAATCAATCCCCTTTTCAAGTCACGGTTCGGGAGGAAACTAAGTGTGCTAAATGTGCCAAGATTCATGTTCTGTCATTTCCAGATGAACGCGGTGGACGCACGCTGCTATCCAGTTTAGAATTACGCATCTTGGTAATATACTCGATTGATCGTAAACTCTTTATTGTCAACATCGTAATTGGAAGAGGTAAATTAATCTGCGACAGGTGTAGTGTTGGATAATCGAAAAGAAGTCGCTATTGGGGCTAGTGTACGTTCTCCTCTCGCACCGATTCCACCATTTCTTCGTCCAGCTCCGACTTGGGCTAATTCATTCTGCTATCTCCCCTTCGCTTCCATATTTTGGAGAGAAATCGTAACTCATCTGCCGAACTTTGGCTAATACAGTCCGCACACGCTGTGCTATCGAGACACAAGTCAACGTCTAGCGTGGCGCATCCCTGTGGTGGGTTTAGCAGCTGTCACCATGATTTCACGTTGTCTCTTCACTCAAAGTGCTAATTTCGTGATGTGGGCTGTAAATGAAAGGTGCTTACTGGGCTTGGAATTCATTTGCAACGTCTCATGAACACTAGAGGCTCCAAATACCCAAACGTCTAAACAATCACGTAATCACGCGTGCCACCGCTTTTCGAGGATCAGACAAGTTGCTAAGTTGAATGCTCAGAAGTACTTTTGCAGTACTTGTGCTCAGATTGCAGCTAAAATTACTTCACTTTTCTGGTCTATCATCCAAGGAATGCTGCTCAAACGGCTGTTTATGCCACCAAATTATTCATCCTAGAAAATAGCTTGAACAGCAAGCTTGCTTTTGCGAAGCTTCGTCACAATTAGACACAGCCAGTCCTGTCCTCTTCACGCTCATAACATTCATGACAGTGGAGGATGGACCGCGCTATATCGCATTTAAATATCAGTCATGGCTGTCCAACGCCGTCACCCCCGACTCAGTGGCATTAATTAGCTTATTCGTAATGGTTAGGTCATGGGTTCGGATCCGGGAGGAGCCGGTGAGTGTGAGCTACTGACGGGTCCCAACGGGACGAAACAACCGCTTAACGCATTTCTGAATTTGTGGTGGCTGTGTGGATGAGTCTAGCTGCGACGAATCTTCACGAAAACACAATACATCCTTTACTATTCCCTAACCAAAAGTTAATCCTGTAATTCTATGTATGGAAACGGTCTTCGGAACTACAATTCACATTGTAAGCGGATAAACAATGCTAGCAATAGATACAAAAATGTTGGCAATAACAAACTATTGCGCCATATTGAATAATGTTGTCGTGTTTTCGCAAAACTGCACCTAATATGCTATTTTGCTCTCCCCTCTGTGATACGAGTGTAATTTTCTCTTGTGCATTATCCTCCTTTTGCATTCCTTACTCTGACCAGCCTAGGGAAACTTTTGATAATGCCCTTTTTGAAATGTTATCAATCGGTTTCTTGTTGTTCTATTGATGGTACAACAGTGACCCAAAATTGAGAATAATGAGATCTCCTTCATTATCGTTCATGAGTGCCTTGCTACAGTTATTAGAATCGGTGATCCTAACATCTCCATACTGACTGTGCAATCGTTTGCTCCGTGATACGGCTCACATTTGGTGCAGGATGATTTCATTCTCTGTGTCGCCCTCGTGATGCAACGGAGTGGGTAGGTGAACTGCGGCTTCATGCAGTAGTCTTCGCCAATAGGGAGCGTAAAACTTTGCACCTATCATGTGCAGTTATTTGCACGTAGAGCTATGTGGGTACCTGCTACAGTGATAGTATGAGGCCATCACGGAGTCACCAAGTTTATTAGCCTGACCACACAGCCGCACACCCACAGTATATGCACAAAGTTTGTGCACAACGATTGCCTTTGAAAGCGTTATAGGGAACAGAACAGCATTTGTCGGTTGTGAGCGCCAGTTTGCAATTTTGCTTCAGTTGGGGTTGCGTTAGCTCCAGGCTTCCAAGCGCTAACTGCTTGCAATACTCAAAATTCCTTCTTGCATTCGAGTGAAGAATTGGGTGCAGTAATCAACAAATATCCCTGGAACGTAAGTATTCTACGACACTTCCTCACTTTGGAGTACAGTTTGGAATTTGGAGTTCAAGGCCCAACAACTTTCGTTTCAAGAGTCCACATTTGACCACGCATCTCGAGTGAAGGTGCTTCGAAACATCCGAGTACAGTGAACAACCCCGGCAAGTAACTGTGATTAATGATTACCATAGTGAATTTGCTACTGCATATTCTGTTTCACATCTTAATGTTCTGAGAGGGAGCATAGCTGTAAAGCCCATTCTTCGTCCATCGAATTTAACCTACGTGAGCTTGTGAAAATTAATTTAAACTCACTATTTCCCTGCTAAGTGGAAAACTTGCTTACTCTATCCCCGTCATCGTCTTTGCGTCGCCATTATGCTATCGTCAACGTAAGTCGCGCTTGGTACAGTTTCCCTCTAGAAGTATTAACTACTGACTT